TGATGAGGGAAATTATCGCCAAAGAGAAGTATCCTATCAGAGATGAGTGAAATCACGCGGAAATAAGGGTTTCCGACGAGAAAATGCCAAAATTAACATTCTGCAAAGCGAATTGCATAGTCTCACTTTTTTCCCACTTGCAAACATAAGTTTTTGTTATTCAAATGCAGTCCCAGCATCCGTGAGTGGGAATAACAGCACCGTCTGGCATTCTAATTGCGATGTCGGAAAAGTAGGGAAGGCGGGGGGGGGGCAGAGTTACGAAGTTTTTTGTTTGTAAAAATGCTAGGGGTGGCTTCATATTCCTTATGATTTCTAACACATTCTTCTGGAAATTTTATAACGATTCATCTCTTTCAGAAATAGCCCATTCTGACAATTTATCTCGCAGAGACTGGACGCCGTACGTCTTAGTGAAATAACCTGTGTTTGGGTGAGACGACAGACGGTTAGAGAAATAAATGTGAGTTGGGTTGAGAGACGCCGACAGCATCCGCACTAGCGTCCTGTCTGCGCGCATTGAATTGCATACATTTTATTTTCTCCAGATGAAAGGGAGTATATACGATTTTCTTTGGTTCATTTGTGCAATTGCACTACTTTTTGATAATGTAACAGTAATCTTAGTACCTCTTTTGGCCTAGCACGATGCAAGTTTAGGTTCCTGGTGCAAATACACAAATGATGCTAAAATGAAGACCACCGTACAGCTCCGAACATCTTATTTTGAAAGTTTTCAGGACAAATTTTTTGCAGCAAATTTTAGGGTCCAGCCCGTATCACTTACATTTGGAATAGACGCATTAAGCGTCTACATAAAACATGCTCTCGTTTATGTCCAAGCTTTCTTTTTATTTTTGAGACGCAGTCTAGCCGTCGTGAAGACATAAACAACTTGCGTCTGTCCCAATAACAACATTCCTCGCTAGACAGACGAAATGTGTTCCGTCTGCAAATTTCTGCAGTTCTTTGCAAAGTAACTGCAAAACATTCGCTCATGCGACTTAGCCTGAGCTTATCGAATTATTCACGAGGAACGTCTTTCTGGTAACTTGCTTCGATAAACAAAATACGTGAGATGGCTTTTCTAGGAATTACGAACATGCAAATCTCCTTACTTCACTTAGAAACTAGCACAAACATGGAAATTGTTTTGAAACGGTAAACGAAATTTCTCTTCATTGCTGATAAGGAGACTTCGGCAGCAAAAAGCAGAATCAATCAGCTTTCGCATGAATCACTTTATCATCAAAAATCCAATTTATTTGCAACACTCAACTGATGAAAACAGCACTGATGTGAGTTTTGCAACATAATAGGTGTACTTCACAGAATGCACACTACTTGACGACCTCTGGCATCGAAGTTTGCTCATTTACAGTATTCCTCCTCGTTTCTTAAACTCTTTCAATTTGTTTGGATATGCGTCAGTTAGGAACATTTCTATAGTTTTTTACGCTAGGGAAAGGTTTCATAAGCGGATGTTAGTATTTGTGTCGTCGTTTGCCGCGCGTAGTGTGCAGACTCACAAATTGAGTCACAAATGACTAGAGGATGTATTGTAGTAGCGTAGGTCGTAATGTAGTTCCACTTTCTATCCATGATGCTGAATAATTCATTTTGTATGGAAGAAAGTACAATTTTTGTATTGCGCACAAAGGGCAGACGTTAATACGTTTCTCCTTTTCCTTCATCGTCTCTCCCACGCTCGGCAAATTTTATGAGTCGACGACGTTTGTGAAAGTGCGACCAACAATCAACTGACAAAGGCGAGTCGTCTAATCGTTGACAAGCTACTAATCATAATCAAAGTCAAATAAAGGGTGGTCTAGATGAGTAAAAAGTACTTACAGCGCATTTATACCCAAAACATACGTTATTTCGATTATGGTGAGATAAATCCAGCAATGAATTTTGGCTGCATCGAGTAAACACGAATATGAGCGTGAAGTACACATTCGCCTGCTGAAACCTATGATGAAAGATTGAGTAAGGAAATTTATATTAGGCTCAGGATAACGTTTGATTCAAGTGGCTTGACGGCTGGAAGGCGGGGTTTCGTGACCTAGTTAAGGCCGCTCGCGTCCGCGACGCAGTCTGCGTCTCTCCTGCGCATGTGCTCTCTGATCATTGCCTAGCCCTAGAGTCACGAAGCCCAGCCTTCCAAACGCGCAGCCAGTTGAATCAAGGCGTATCTATCGTAGCCAGCATGATCAGTCACAAATTCGATCAATATTTTCTTCTATCCAGCAATTTGGGAAATCTCGGCGTGGTACCCCTGCGGTGACGACAACATTTGCGCGTATAAAATGGCCGTGGAACGCACATTTTTAAGTTTTGCGTCGTATTATAGCTATTACTCGCACGCATTTAACAAAATTATGAAAATCCTAAAGCAGTTATTGCTCGAAAAGACATGAAAGATATAATAGAAGGCTTATAGTCGGATTGTACTTTTATTTACTGTCGTTGACAAATGCGACTTTTCACACAAATGAACATTTTCGAGCGAAAATGTTGCAAATTGCATGTATTGAGTCACACGCCTACTCAGCAGCTCCACTCGACAAGAGCATTTGATACTCTGAATGCATCAATTTATGGAGGAAGTTGAAAATTTACCATTCTAGCCAAAAGTTCCAAGTTGCGAAGCTCGCTGCACTAAATTTGCAGGTCAATATGGTGCTCTAATAGTCGCGCAAAGCATACGTTTAAATTTCCCGCCCACGGCCATTTATTCCCGCGCACATGTTGTCGGCAGTGCGAGGACGTCATATTAGCCGTCTCATCTACCGTATTATATCAAATGGTGTTTGCGCAACGTCCTTGGGGTGCTGCGGTCAAATTATGCCCTCTGATAAGAGATAAGCACTCCGCTATCAACTGAATATTCATTGCACTTCAAAAACACAACATCGGATAAATTTAAGTGATGTCAAGAGTAGGAAAATGCCAGAAGTGCGTTTCCGTCCAGGACCGAAGTGCCGGCACACCCTGAGGAGCCTGCGGCCTCATTGTAAGCTATTAGAAAAGGAGAGTTTTGTCGTGTGTGCAGCGTGTTAAGACAAGTCCTACAGGATTGGCTGTTGGATACTGTAGTTGCAGAAAGGCCATCTCTCCTGAAGAACCACAATATTACTGTTGAAATTCGAACCGGTTATCAATTTAGTTTTTAACTAATGTCCATCTTATCTATAAAGCTGAATGTGTGTCTGTCTGTATGTCTGTACGTATGCGCGGAATAGAAATTTTTATTTCTGAACCGATTTGGACCAAACTTGGCACACGTACACTTTGGGGCAGTGAGCGTGTCATAGGCTACTTGTCATCGATCGATATCGATTTTATCGATTTTTTGCAAAATTTGAGCTGCGGGGCTGGGAGTTGGCACAGGGGGTAATCGGGCATGCTGATTACAAATATGATAATGACAGGGCCGGGCGGAGCCGGGTTTGCCAACTAGTTATCAATAAATAAAACTCTTGTATCTATAACAGTAGCGTGAACGAGACTCCCCGAATGCCAAGTGTCTGATAACGACCCTCTGACGCAGCAGACACCTGGCATGTGCATAAGCGAAATTTTGGCAAATTTCAGATCATGCAGATAGCTATAGTTACGGAATATCATAGATTTTTGATAGAAAACAGCAGCACACAATCATTGTTTAAACATACCGGACCGGTTTTGGCGCGCTAAAAAGTATGTCGGCAGTATAGCTAGTTTTTGTCGCTCGTCAGTAGTTTCTGAGACTTGGATACTCGAGAACGCTTTGCACATATCATTTCAACAAGTTCGATCGTGTCGTTGACAAGTTTATACTTGTTATCTATCTCATTTGGGACCATTTACTACGTGGAACCAAGAAAGAACAAGTTAAAGCTTGTTCAAACGATGTGCACGAAGCGTGCTAGTCTTAAAATAAATGAAATCTGATCTCACGGAAGTTTCTTAACCCACTGACGACGATATGGACCACGGGTGGCCCACATTCCTTGCAAAATTATAGACTTTCTAGGTCTAGAATTTTTCTCCACGGTTCAGTATTCTATCTAATTTCTTGCACTCTTGGATCCTGTAGACTTCGTGTCCAAGAATATGATTATGGTTATGTACAAAACAACTTTACATTTCGTAAATAATCGCAAAACTTTCCCAGCCGAAAATGTTGTGGAAGATCGCGGCGTCCCTCAACGAAGCCACGCAAAATAAGGCGTCGACGTGTAGGTTGAATATTATCAAGCCATTTGTAACATTATAGGCGTGTTGCACACCATGCGCACTACTTGACGATTTTTAAGCTTAGAATATGTTATTCCCAGCAATTTGCCTTGGTTTCCTTGTCTCTTTCCATTTGACTAGTGGACCAGTAATCGTGCTATTATAGGCGCGCTCGCTTCGGGACTTGCTCGGTATCCCGTTTTGGTGAAATCTGAATGCGCATTACGACTCCTTATGTATCAGAATGGATAAGTATTTGGTAGTGCATCTTGAAGTTCGTTACGGTAACAACAAGAAAATTTCTACTGAAAAGGTAAAGCAGGGGCCAGACTTATCCGGTTAGCCTGCTCAACCGCTTCATGATTGGCCAGTTCACTGATCCGATCAATCATGACGGCTAAGCGATTGACCGGATAAGTCTGACGCCTGTCTTACTAGTTAGACATCGTCGACTGCCGCGCATAGTGTGCAGACTCACATATTAAGTTACAAATGACTCGAGAACACTTCTTATGAATTAGCTTAATAGGAGTACCGTATCAATGCTGTCAAGTCCTATTAGACGCGACGACTTCCTCTTTCTTCAGTCGAGACGCACTAAATCACTGTCCTTGCCTACTCAATTGCTGTAATAAATTACCAAGTGCGGCAGTTTTTTTTACGTCTGGACTCGTTAAGCCCCGCGAGCTCTGCTAGAGGCGTTAAGATGCCCCGAAGAACGAGCACATCGACGGGGGACGTCTACGAGTGTCTGTTTACGCAGCCACCGCTGGCTGTACGGGACGGGAGGCGCACAGACAGTGCAGAGCGGGGGGAGATAGTACCGTCCTAACGGAGTGCGCAGACATGAAAGTGCAGCTGAAATAGCGTGGCTGAGAAGAGACGCAGCGCAGGGGCGTGACCGAGACGTGCGAGACGCAGCGGCTGACGGCGGTGGCGGCGGCGGTCTAGACGGAGTCGGTGATGCTGCGCAACCTGGTCGGCAGTTTACGACGAAGAGCTCGGTCCGTAGCGGCACACGAGGCTAATTCATCCAAAACTCCTACGGAAACAATGCGAGAGAACAACGAGGCACCTATACTTGTCACTATTGTGAGTTTTTCCGCGAAAATCCTCGTTATTTTCATGTTTTAAAGCAATTGCGCCGTGTGTATGTATTGAATTCATATACCTGCTCATCTTTCATTTCTTGTTATTTGACTTGAATCTCATTTTATCATTCTTCCTTTTCTTACAAGTCTACGCACTCCATTTACCAGTTTTTTCTGTCTAAAAGATTTTTTTCGTAAATTCTCTCCACTTTTGTACGAAACAATCATACGGCTTCTATATATAGCGTGTTTCATAACTGTAAGACACTCTCTAAAGGTAGCTACAGTCTAGACTTTTCATATAGTCACAAGCGTGTCATTGCACAAAGTGTACATCTTTGACGTCTGCATCCTGGTTTTTTGGCTAGTCACCTTCAAAATGGGCGTCATTGTTTTTCGAGATTTTTTGTTCAGTATAGATATGAAGCAGCTTTTTTTTGCATATTTTGTCTTCCTTCTATGCTCCATGACCTAAAATCCAATGGCCATCCCAGACGACGAAGACGGACAGTGGTGTAATGTGGCACATATACGATCGTATGAAACGACTTCTAGAGTGCTGATCAATTTGACTTGTGTTTCACCTCAATTTAGATGTTTGGTCACTTACAGCAAGAAATTGGAGAAGTCTCGTGCGCTTTGTGCATGCGCGCTACAATTTCTTGTCTCCCAGTCTCTGGAAGTCATATGCTGTTTAATCATCCAGTGTTTATACCAGTTGACTTAGGGGACCTCGTGCTTTAGAGCGTTGTACTTCATTGTGAATGTTGATTTATACCTTTTACCTTTCTCCCTTCTGTGTCAAATCTTTCATTTTGACCTTTTCTGCATGTCCTCATTCTCATAAATGCTCAGACGTTCGGAGTGCTAAGGACGTTCGATTAGCCTGTAAATACGTCCGTCTGGAATACAGCTGCACTTTTTCCCTTGTGCAATGTAGTATCCGAAGTCTGAGTGGACAGAAATAGCACCTAAAGTGCTGAAGCACTAGGCGCCTACACTCTTCTTGCAAACAGCACAAATATCCATTTCCTCGTCAGCTGGAATAGCGTACTTGCTCATACTAAGCTCTTATCAACTCCTCTTCCATGTGGTTATCTCATTTCTTCATATTTTAAAACGCATGTGAGCTCTCTAGGCCCGTCGTCAACAACCCCACATTCTGCAAAGCAGTGGAATCTGTAACGCAGCCGTCTAGACTGGTTGCTTCTCAGCCAGACGGGGAAACAACCATGCAGACGGGCTCATTCGCTTTCCGAGCGTGAAAAACAGCAGCCTTGTCTACTACTCCCACTGCTTGCTTCTAGTAAATAATAATATACTTGATGCGACTAGACTCAGTTGTCGTCTATATAACGATAGCTCGCTTTGCTTTCGTTCTAGGATATCTTTAGCACATCTGAGATTTGAGCAATGATGAAGATAGTTTTTTTAAACACATGAATGTTATGTTTCGCATTCCATATGCTTTTTGCCGCTCATTTTAGTCTCTGCAGCTCGCAACGCTTTTTATCATGTCCTAGGCCTTTGCGCCAACACAGCCCTTTCCATTTTATCGATTGCACAGCTTCGAAGAGACTTCATCTAACAAAAGGTAGAGGAAGGATATCTAGATATTTAAGATTTTACAAAATTTTCGTTACTTTGAAAGGGGTGTTCATAAACAAAAACTTAGGGCTTCATTGTTTTCTCGTTCTAAAGAAGTTGATCATGAATTTATAGCACTCTTTTTTTTATATTCCATTTCTTCACATATCCTTTTTTTATGTTAGCACTGCAAATCAAGAAAAAACAAACATCAAACCAAGCACAGATTTCATGACAGATTTTACTGCGTGTCGATTGCCTATCTAGTTTTCCGATGCTGACGTGTGAGATTGGCGATAATTCATCTGACTTCCTGCTTTCTGTCGTTACACACACTTTATCAGGAGTCGGGATAAAAAGAGGAAGTTTTTCTGCACATCATAATCCGCCATGTCTGGGTCGTTGCTAGCATGCTTTTTATCAAAGTCTTTCTCTATCACCTCCATCGAATTTAGTATAAGAACCCATTACTTTTCTTTTGTGTTTCATTTTCCCATGATTACTGTTGCAAGTTTTTTTATAATTCTGTTCAATCCGCTTCAATTCCGCCTCCTTAGCCATGATCTTTGGCTAATGTTGTGTGATGAGCGCCTGAAAGGCCGTTATGCTTTTTTTTTGTTCGCATTGCGAGCGAAAATCCATATCCCTCAGCGACGTCACGTTTTTTTCCCGTCGCGCTCCCCGATGACGCTCTCTTGAACGATTCTGCTAATTCGTAGATGAAAACAAACTGGCTACGATTGCGAACAAGGAAATGATATGATGTTTTTAGAATGTAACATTCAAGTAGCTGCGAATGTGCTCAATTGCAAAGTCAATGCTTTTTTTTGTGTGAGCGTTATCTAAAGTAGGAAGCAGACTTAACTTACTCGAGGGTCTCTTTAAAATAGATAAATAGCGAATAAATTTTTTTCTAAGATTAGCTTGCAGAAAACATATAAGTTTCAAGCTTTCTTCGTATTGGTTGATTCAAACATGCTTTCAAAGTTGTCTGGCCAGTTTAGTTGCACTTTTATTGAATTCATAATCATGTAATGACTTTAAATTTCTGAATATTGCCACACTCTTTTTCATCCATGCGGTGCTTTTGCCTGTCAGGTGTCCATTTTTAATTAATTTCACTCTATATTTGCCTTATTCACATTTAACGCTTTTCAGCAACGAATGGTGGATAAATGTGCAGCCGAAGACAGTGATGAACAAGAAGCATCGTGCAGTGATGATGCATGCTGTGTTTGCTTATCGAGGGTCGCTACTGTGCATGCATACCCTTGTGGTCATAAAATCAGCTGTCGTTTATGCGCTTCAATGATGCTTAAGGTCAGATTTTTATCTGTATTATATGGTATCGTTCACACTGAGTGTGGTGGGATTTGTATGCTATATGATAGCGGAGCCCCCCGACTAAGCAGTCGCCCAAGTCTCGCTGCAAAAGATGATTTGCAAGTCGAGAAAAGCGCTTCAGAAATTAGCAATGATCACGCTGGCTCCGCCCATCAACGTGGGTGGTCTGAAAAAACAAGTCCATTGGGCCGTTACCCAGATCTGTCAGAGACTCGCCCTTCATAATGATCTTCAATTTGATTTGATTTGACTGATTTGTGACGTTCTATTTACTTCGAAGCTCATTTTCGGATCGCACACTATCCACGTTGACGAGCAGAGCCAGCAGGGTTGCGTCCACTTCTGGAGCGATTTTCTCGCTTTGGAATTCGTCCTTTGTAGCAAGACTTGGGCAAATGCTTAGTTGAGGGCCCGCTATGATATAGCACCAGTATCTCATCATCCCCAGTTTCGCGATGCCTTTAAGTTAAGATTTTGCCATTTGCCTTTCTTCTATATGAATCTTGTCCAGAGTTGATTTTATTTGCGAAAATTCATTCCTCGAAAACTGAATCTAGTGTTTTTAGGCTTCTGCTAAGGCACAAGAGAAACATTTCCGATGTATCATGTGCCGATCGAATGTCTATAGGCTGCGGTATGTGCGTCCGGATCCGGTGATTGTCTTGTGCAAGGTTAGTGCTTTGCGTTATTATCCCTGTTAACCGTTACGATCTTAGCATACCCTTCCTTTCTTTATTTTTCTTTTGCTTATGATTCATATTTCAGCCTGAAGCACCGTTTGCTCTTCGCTCTGCCCATCCAGGTGAAATGAGCTCCCTCAGCGGCAGTTGGTCGAGATCTTCTCCTTCACCTTCTGCGACTTCATCATGCCCCGGATAATCTGCAAACTGCGTTGATATCAAATCCTGATGAAGAACACCAGCCGCACAATCAGCGTGTTCTATTCTGCATAAATTCTCAAAAACAAAATGAAGGAACGGTCCGAATGAGCAGCGTTTCTGTGGATTGTCTTAATGTCGTATATCTAGGTGTTGAATATTTGTTTGTTGCTCAGAGGGACGTTTTTGATGCCCTCTTAGGACTGATTTATGATGCACACTTTAATGCCTACAGCATGTCTTTCTGAGGTTTTTATTGCTAGTAATTCACTAAATATTCCATTTTTGTTTGTACATTTCGCGTACTAGTTATAAATTAACTTATTAGCTACTTGTCTACACTGCATTCTAGAGATCACAAGTGATATCTTGCGACATCGAACAAGTCTTCTTATTCATTGCTTCACGAAAATCAATGAACTCGGTGGTGTTGTCGTGCTTTTCACTTCAAAATGTGTTGGGTTTTCCACTCCCACGAACAGAAACACCTTAAACACGTGAGTCGTCGGGAATAAAAACACGGAAGTATTTCTTTCTTGAAACTTGTTGATTCAGTTGTTTTCTGCTAAGAAATTAGTTGAAACATGTTCTTCTCACCATGTGAAATTGGAATTTGCAGTCATGTGTATGGGAAAGAAGCTAAGTCGTTAGACTGTATCTGTTGAAATACAAGTGGTTTTTGAATCTCTGGCAAATATTGAATACCAGCCGCTCTCTGCCCTACGCGGTAGATTCGGTTGGTACGGGCAGCTTCACTGCCTCGTAAACCGTACGTTGTACTATAAATTGTGGAAATGTGAAAATTTGCCATTTTGTACGTTGCTTCGATTCATAACCTGTGAGGAAAGAAAAGTTGAGGACATGATTTCGGTTTTGTCACATCTTGAAACTCTTTGATTCTAACATGCAAAAAAAAATCACTAAATCGAAAAGGGCAATGAGTGTGTCCGAAACAAAATGGCCTTATTAACACACGCTCAACCCTTACATTTGTATGCCAAATATGGTTCAAATTCCATTACTTCTTCTATCCATTTTGGGCGCACATGAAGGATTTTGTAAGCAAAACTCACAAAAAATCAATAAATCAATAAGTGCAACCCTGTGTCCCGAACAGAATGACTTAACACACTCCCCATCCCATACATTATGTCTGCCAAATCTGGTTCAGATTTTACGATTCCTGTCCTTTTTAGGCGAACAAAAAATATTTGAGCAAAAACTGCAAAAAATCAATAAATTGATGGAGGCAATCGATAGATTTTGAACAAAATGACTTATTAACACACGCCCCATCCCATACACTATGTCTGCCAAGGTTCAAATTCCATTACTCCTTCTTATAGAGCGAAAATACAAAAAGTGGCTAAGCCAAATATCATATAAGTATTGATAATGTACAACACAAATTACAATCATTATATTTATTTATTCAATAAATCACTTGAAGTGCACCGAAAAATAGGAATGAACTAATGCGATACTAGTTTTAAACTCAAGAAGATGAATATGACATGGAAAGTTCTATGTCCCCTCTTCTGCTGAGCGTTCGTAAGGGCCGGATACATTACGCGATCTCATCGCCTTGCGATCCTCCCGACAGACAACTGTTACGAGTCCATTGCATCCTGAACATTTCGCATTTCAGTTGTGATAGCTTTCCCACTCATCTAATCGCTGCCAACTATCACAACCGAAAGCAAGATGATCGACATGCAATGGACTCTTAACACTTGTCTTGCCGGGAGAGTCGCGAGGCGAAGAAATCGCGTGATGTTTGCCCGACCCTTAACTTGTTTTTTGAAAACAGTCGAAAATCAAAAGAACTCGGGCTACTAGAAAATAGATACGAAGTAATAGTTTGTCAAAAGACATGCGGAATTATGCTAAGATCTTGCTTCCACTAAAATTGATATTGCTTTCTCTTTGAGTGCCAACGAGCCTGCCGGCGAAAGCTAGGATTTGATCCTAATGAAAAGACCATGAGTTGAAGAATTAGGCAAAACATCTTGGCAATTCATGTTCGAATAGGATTATTTTTGAGCACATGTGATCTGGCATGCTAGATATGTGGTCTGAGTTAGATTTCGAAGGGTATGAAGATAAGAGTTTGAGCTTATTGAGACATGCTGTATCCTTTGAACTAATAAATACAGTTAGTTATAATGGAATAAAACTCAAACAGTGGTCAATTTATTCCATCTTCCTGATTATCCGAGAATAGCGAAAGTTTGGCGAATCAAGACCGGACGAGTCGATGAAGTAGTGTGTCTGGAACAACAGTGGATGGTATATTCGAGATACGTCCAAAAATCACAGATATCAGAAATTTGGAGCTTTTTTGCAATTTGGAACCTTCGGAAATTCTGGAGTTTTCATTCGTGATGATGTCATACGGAACTGAAGAAAACAATAAATATGAATGTTTATAACATGGAGTTGTAAATTACATTCATCTATTAACGTACATTTATGCAAGTACGGAAATCGATTTTCTGTACAAGTGAGGCCAAATGTAAGAACTCGATTTTTTTCAGATTGTTCCTCCTCCTTTTGCAACTACTTATATGGTGGATCAAAGTTCCTACATACGATAATCTCAGAGCACTACCCTCAAATAAAATTGAACCCAGTTTGCTCTGTGGCTTTATACTCTCATTAGTTACTATGCGGTTTAGGATTGTCTCAAGTGGCGCTTTCAGAAATCAAATCATGGAGAGTTAGCGAGTCTTGAGTAGGTTTAGCCGATCTAAGCACCTCCGCTAGTCTAAGGATTCCAAGATTTCTGATGATTTCTTAATGTGAGCTTATGGTTCTTAGGTGAAGAAAAACTTTCCGCTTTATACTCTTAGTATCCTTGTCTGACCTAGGGAGTTGTTGCTCCGTACAAACGATAATGGAAATTTTCTTGCTATTATATGAAGCTGCTTTTTTTCGAAAATGGGGTTAGTTATGTGGTTCAGATATCTATGGTCATCCTCATCCCACAGATACGTGGTGAAGGATTTTGGATTGGATTAGAGCAAGCCTTTTGCGGTAGAGTACCGCGTCCTCAGCCCTCAATCTAATTTGCCCTAGACTCTCGTGCGTGCTCTGCCGCGAACAACCTGCTCCAGTTCAAATGCAAAATCGTGGATATCCACTGGGATGAGGACTATAGTTCCTATGTACCGTTTGATTCAACTGGCTTGGCTACGAGAAGGCTTTGTGACCTAATTAAGGCTAGGTAATGATCAGAGAACACTCGCGCGAGAGAGACGCAGGTGCGTCGTGGGCGCGAGTGGCCTCAATTAGATCACAAAGCTCCACCTTCTCGAAGCCAAGCCAGTTGAATCAAAGGTTATCGTCTTTGTTCTAACATTTGTTTTAACGGTTTGGGCTAAAAGGCGAGGCTTTAAGACCTAAGTAAGACCGCTGGCCCGCGACGCAGTCTGCGTCTCTCCCGCGCGCATGGCCTCTGATCATTACTTAGCTTCGATTAGGGTAACGAGGCCCCGCCTTCCAGCCGTCAAGCCAGTTGAATCAAAGGGTACTTGAGTTCAGGCGAAACTGTGTTGATGAAGCGTGGGTGATTACATGACATGCATTTCCCTATTTGACCGTTCCTTCGCCAACAACCTGCAGAATATACAATTACACTTACTCGACCGTAGAGGAGTTTGCGATAACGAGACGACTGCAAGTGAAACTCACTGGATTTGTTCTTATGCGCTAGGATCTTTCAAGTTTGCACAGCTGTTTTTCCTATATTCACAGTTGACGCGTATAGATAGCCATAGACGCGATAGTGTGAGAATTTGCTCACCCTCTCTTCACCCCTCAACCGGGACCAAGGTGAGCCCCTTCACCAAGAGTCGAGGTTCAGGAATCGTTTGTGTGTCGGAAAGGAGGAAGAGGTTTATAGGCATTCACAAACTTCCAGGAGGGAAAATGGTAGCTTTTGTAGTTGCACAGCAACGTCAGCAAGGGACGTTCCGTGGTACAACGTTCCCCTCTGGTTTCAGGGAGTAAATAATTTGCCCAGAGTTTGTTCATAGAAGTATTCAGTGAAAGGTATGCCTAGTGTTTTCTGGACACTTACGAGTTTCCAACATAGAAAAATTCATAAATTTTGTGGATGAATAGCTGGTACAAGGAATTAGTGACCATCGAGGACGCCTCGTCCTCCGTTTTCAGAAAATGATAGCATGCCTAAGATCCGTTCAAAAAAGTGCCTGATGAATTGTGTGCCTAGTGATCTCTGGGATTTTCGAGTTTTCAACATAAAAAAATTCATAACTTTTGGAGATGAATAGCTGGTGCAAGGAAATAGTCACCGTCGGAGCTGCCTCGTCCTCCGCTTTCAGAAAATATGTAGCATGTCTGAGATCCGTCAAAAAAGTGTATGGCTGAAGAGTGTGCCTGAAGCCTGGAGACTTCCGAGTTTTTAACATCAAAAAAATCATAACTTTTGTTGATGAACATCATGTATGCATTGGAACCACCTCGTCCTCCGCTTTCAGAAAATATATAGTTTGCCTGGGGTCCGTTAAGAAAAATACGGAGTGAAGGGTGGGTGAGACTCCTATAATGGGAGTTCTCAGGTGAAGGCTTTTTTACCATTGTAGAAGAACGTCTACTTGAGAACACTCCCATTATAAGAGTCTCACCCACCCTTCACCCCGTACTTTTTTTGACAGACCCCAGGCAAACTATATATTTTCTGAAAGCGGAGGATGAGACGGTTCCAATGCATACATGATGTTCATCAACAAAAGTTATGAATTTTTTATTCTTAGAATTTGTAAATATCCATGTACCTATCCCTTCACCAGACTCTTTTCTCAAAGACTCCAGGCAAACTAGATATATATTCTCGGAAAGCGGAAGATAAGACGACTCCTATGTTAATCATCTTGGCGTAGTTATGTATTTTTTTTTATCTAAAAGTTCGCAAATATTTGAAAATCATTACCCACGAGCTTCGCCAGGCACTTTTTTGAAACGACTCCAGACAAATTCTCAAACAAACTATATAATTCTTGAAGCGGAAGAAAAGATGGCTTTAAAACCAATTTCTTTGCTGGCGTGCTGTTCATCTACAGAAGTTACAGAATTTTTTCTTAATATGTGAATGTTCAAAAATTGTCTTCCTCTTTCCCGAAACAGATGTTCTTGCATACACAACTTCTACTCTATATTTTCGAAAATAACAGGATGTTTCCAACTCTACTTTAATCTTTACAAAAAAGAGCAAATGATGGTAGAGAATTGAAAATGATAAAACGTTGATTAGGGAGAATGATGAGAAAACACCATCACTTCCCTCCCCCTCCGTCCTCCTCAAA